GAATACCGTACTTGCTCAATTTTTAGTTAAAAATCATTTTCATAAAATTACTTATTATTTATTACTTTGTTTTCAACATGAAAAAACCTATAATATAAAAAAAAATCTATATGATACTATATTTAGATGCATATGAAATCTGAATACTAAGCATGAAATTTCGAATATTTAAAAATATTAAGAGTTTATATAATTCTTGAAGAATTACAATATAAAAAAAAGTGTATCTCTTTTAACAAAAGATTCTATTGAATTTAATAGATTGTATTAAATAACTTTGAATTGTTTTTTTTATTAATTAATTCATTTTCGTACAATAGAAATCGTTGCATCTTCCACATATACTCACGAGTATATTCATTTGGATCATTTGCATACGATAGGTATGGAAACGTTAGCAAGTTTTATGTGACTCATGGGTTGCCCGTGTAGACACATCACAGGAAGGATTGGTAGAGCGGAAAGAAGGCGAGACGTGAATTCATTTGTGTACTTATTTTAAGGTACCTACACTTTTGACTTGCTCGTTATTCCAGACGTTATTATATTGTATCTTCTTCTCAGTATACTCATACGTGTTATGAATAAAATGCATAAGAAAGTAGGTAAAACGAAATATATGTATATAATTCTTAAAATGTTAAGTAAGATTTTTATCAAAAAAATATACGAGAAAAAATGTAATCATATAATATTGAAATATTAATATTCAGAGAAATATATTTTGTTATATTATATGATTTATAAATTGATAATTTTATATCATTTAGGATAAATCGATGTGCGCAAATATTTACATGAATTAATATACAGTAATAATGGTTATAAAAGGTTAATATGATAATGCGTATGCAGATACATGTATGGGTATGCATTTACAGATATTGTACGAGTAACCACACATACATAAGATAGGAAGGCATACTTGTCGGTATGAATCATGATTGAGGACGTGGGGAGCATCGCGAAAGTTGAAGTTATTCGATACTTGTAATATCCGGAAGAACTTACTCGTCAAGAGTTCTATCGAATCGAATGAGAAAAATTTACGTTTATATGCTTTATCGAGCTATACTAGTTTATTCAATTACGGGAGACGATGCGTGTACTAATTTAATTTTGCGCATGTATGTATATATATGTATCTCTATGTATACAATACATATATATCGTATACGCATGCGAAATTAAACGCAATTAATTAACATATGATGTGTGTATTTTAATTAAATATTAAGTAAATAACAATTATTTTTTTTTTTCGAAAAAAATAGATATTTTAATACATTATTCTTTCTTCAATATATGTTTTCTTCACAAAAATAAAATCTTTTTTTCCATAATTAATGATCGATAATAAATAGTTTTCTTAACAGATTCCAAAAAAAAAAAAAAATTGGTTATCGAAAGAATTAATACATTACGTTATAATAAAACTATTATCAAGCATTATTTTCTTTGGAGAAAATTTGACGTACTTCTAACGTAAAAATGAAAAGAACAGAGATATTTAGTAAATTATACAGAACGATCCTTCACAATTTCGTCGTACCGCCAACTGAATATAGTGTGTCTAATTTTATCGCGGCATTCGCTAGTGATTTGCTCTCTCGTGCAACGTGCTCTTCGAATCGTGAAACTCTGTTTCTCGGTTACCTTGTTCTTGAACCTGACCCTTACACCAAATAACATACTTACAGTTAGCATTGATACTCATCAAGTTATAAGACAAGAAAGATTTCCGATCTTCTTGTGTTTTCTTGATAATTTCTTTTCTATCTTTTTCTTTTTTTTTCTTTCGTTTTTATTGTTTCTTATTGTCATCAAAAATGCTGATGACACGATATAATTTTGTCACAATCTCTCGTACCGAAAATTTTTGAGCATAATTCTTTCGTTTACTTGTATCATTATATCATTTATTTATGTATATTTAAAATATCGTTTCAACTATGTTTTATGCATGTTTTAAAATTTGTATCGATTTAATATATACAAATATAGTTAATTATATTATTATAATGGTTTTAATTAAAAATTATCTATATTTTATATGGATAAAAGTTCACATATACCCGATGTTTTAGATCAAAAGAATTTGAAAATTATTATTTTATACAAGATATATTTTTTTTATTGAAGAAAAAGATGATTTTATATTTTTCAATATATGGAGTTATCACGAAAATTAAATCTTTGTCTCGTCTTTAACAAATCCTTGGATCAGGTCTTCGCCCTTCTCTTAAAAATATAAATAGCCACGGACGAGCTAAGTCGATCTGTGTGCTATTCTATCAACTTCATATATGTTCATATAGTGGTCACTAGTTTATTATTATCTGATTTTTTTTTTAATTCTATTTACAAATTGTAATAATGAATTTATGAAATGGATATTGTTATTTGTTTAAAATTTTTTTTCACCTGAATACGCTGAATGCATATATATTTGATCAAAGAAACGGCAATAATTGACACTTATGATTGAAACAGGTTAGAACAACAGCTTCCTATCGACCTCGTTCATTCTCTTTTTGTGAGATCAATCAGGAATGATGTCAGCAATTTTCGAAGAAACTGTTTGACCCTGTTAAACAACAAAAGCTTTTATACACGTTTACATGCTCATAAAAATTGCATTCTTCATTCATTAGTTATATTTCATCGAAATATACCTATGTATAAAATATGAATATTAATAATTTATTATGTTTAATTAATTGCGAAAAATGTGACGTATCATGGATACAAATTATCAAAGATTATAAAGATTGTGTATGTCGCAAGAACCGTGTATAAAGATAATTGGAGCGATTCATTTAACATTCGCACAAAAATCTATCTCGTGAAGAGCGAGAAGAAAAGAAGGAAGAAAGAAAAAGCAGTTTAAATAAATATAAAAATAATTGGAAAATTTATAAATAAAAAAAAATTTGTTGAAAGTATAGATAAAGGTGGAAATATGCAAGGAAATGAATGCAAATCGAGAAAGGCGATAGAAAGGAATGTCTAAGATTCTAAGATACCACACGAGGGGTAAATGCTCGAACGAAGAAAGCCATGATTCTATCTATATTTAACTGTATCTTCGACTGCCGTTTTTAAGTAGAATATGCCTACAAAGCATCAACGTAGGGCACAATTTCATCAAAACTGACCCTTTCTTGAAAAAAATCCGATTGGACGTTATTTTTTTCCTTTTTTCAAATATTAAAAATATTCAAAAAAACCTATTTATTTATTTAATTAGTTTCAATCGTTACGTTTATTAGAAATTGATATTATTATAATTAACAAAACGGTTTAATTTTATTATTTACATCATGTATGAATCTTCCACGTTTCCACCGATGTTGCAATATAGGATATGAATATTATAAATAAATAAGTATAAACAATTTAATATATAATAATTATAATGATTAAATAGACTAATATATGCTTCTACTTATATACTAAACTAAAAAAAAAATGTGCATAGTTCGTCACGTATTAGAAGACACGACCCCCGACGCACGGCTTCTCTTGTATCATCGTCAGGGCTTCCGATCAATTTGACATAGAGAATTTGCTGGTTCTGTGGTTCAACTTGACAAGTTAAGCGATTCGAAAGAATTATAGTTATATGGTTATCGCGTGTATAATTGGATTTAAAGATTAATTTTAATTATTCTTGATATAAATTTTTTCATTCTTAGAACATGAAAAATATCTTTTCACGAATAATTATTCGTTATTTTTTAATTCTACATCGAATCGAAGAGATTTTCAATCTACTCGTTTTATTTCGTTTGATTAAATTCACTTTTTTTTTCTTTTAAATATTAAATGCACTATTTTAAATGGAGTAGACAACTGTTTGTCAATACTCGTGTTTATAATTCAACTTTGTATATTCTAGTTTGTACTTTTTTATTATTGGATTAATTTTGTTGTGGAAATTATTGTTTGTAAAATATTGCTCACATTTATCAAAGAAGAAATTATTAAATTAATTCGTTACGATTATTTCACACGATATGATTTTTTGACCGATTCAATCGTTTCATATATTTCTGTATTTTTATCACACGTTTTGAACAACTTTCAAATTCACATAAATTAATCGATTATGGTGTGCACAAATAGTAACAGCTTATTCGTATTATGAATGAATCGATCATTTATCAAATCAATTGTTTTACCAATTTCTATAATTTTATATACATAATAAAATCATCGATTCTTTCATTTTTAACATTCTCTTAATTTTGTCAATAATCGTTATATTTTATATAACATGAAATGTAATGAATTCATATCATATAGGTATGTTGTTTATATTGTAATTGGATTAAAAAATTTTGAATTATCATTCGATAAAATAATTATTGAATTAATTGAAAAAATGAATCAATTGAATTAAGCGTAATCTTTTGTTTAAAATTAAGAAATATTTATACATTCGATTTAAAAAAAAAGTTATAAATATTTGAGAATGATTTATCTTTTTCTCTACTTCATATTCGAGTATATATTATTACCACACACACACGTGAGAAAATTTTAAATTCTTGAAATAATTTTCATAAATTTAATTTATAAAAATATACTATATATACTATAGTAACAAATCGATATATCGCAATATTATGTAATACACATAAAGTATACGAACGATTTACGATATTAGAAAAAAATATTGTCATTAAAAGTTAGGTTATACTTTAATTTCTGACATAAATTTATACATATATACATATATATGGGACAGACATTGTATTATTTATTCATTCGATGATTACTTATTTATTATTATTTATATACGTACATATATGTTCTGCTTTCGAAGCAGCTGGTAGTTGGAAGAAGCTTTTCACGTAGAAAAGATAAAACAACAGTAACGAAGATGGCAATAGAGAGTGGGTGCAGGATATGCGATCGATTGCCGGCTACCGCCGAACCACGTGACGGGGTGCGGTATTCGTGACGTCATGGAACTTCTGTTTTATTCGTGGTATCGACATATTAGTATCTTTTTCTTTTTCCTTTAGAAACGATTATTCAATGAACGCTCTGATTCGTTTAATCCCATTTCATAGATCAATCTCCAGGTTTTATTCTTTGAACGAATATAGAGTTCGTGGGCGGAAAAAGGTGAAACGGAATATCTTATCGCTGATTTCGCTTATGCACCGACGAAACAACCGAAAAGATATATATATATA